GATCAAGCATCCATGGTTGTCACGTATCGCAAGGGAGAAGCCGGGCCCGAGCAGATGTTGGTCGGTTGCTCGCATGCAATGAGCATGTAGGAGGACGAAAAGTTCAAGTTCGCTGGGATAATTGGAAGCTGACCTTTGTCTGAAGGAGGAGGGGAAAGGTTCCTTCCCGTTCACTAGACATCTAGGAAGATGCTCCTTCCGCCCTCCAAAGGTGACAGACCCTGTTAGCGGTCCCATCACCTTCCTGTTCGTTGCCTTTATCCTTCTCATCACTTCCTTCTTGATCGTCCCCTGCGTTGCAAGTCTAAATTGCTCCCACACCTTGAGTCTGTCTACCAGGCCCTTCACCGAAGACTAAGGCAGCCCGGACATCCATCAGATAAGTTGACAGCCTGGACACATGGATATGATGTTGGGACCTACCGTGTTAGGCAAGTAACTGGAAATGCCCTTGCTGAAAGTTCTTATTGCGACATATCTTCCCGCGCATGAAAACGTCAGCCACCGGCTAAAGTACGCGGTAATTGGTCAAGACTAGGATGCAGATGATGGACACTCTATGAGAACCCAGCCTGAACTAGTTACCTATGTTGTACCTTGTACGAGCTGTCCCTCGTCACTTCGGCGGCAGGTAGCCGTTTGAATCCATCCATTCCAATGGGGCGGGAGCTAAAGGAACGAGTGCTCCAGAGCAGCGGGTTCTGAACACCTTTTGGGGTACAACAACCTAGGCACAGTGTGTCGTATGTCGAACCCCCAATTCGCACGTTGAATATGTCTACGGAGTCGGAGACCACTTCTCCGTCATGTATTCCACCCTGCGCATAAACATGCGTGCGTGGTGATGGAGAATCAATCCTCGTATTGTGTTGAGGGCCAATGGTTAGTTGCTGACGGCTGATGCTTGAATGCGGTCCTGTGGATGTGTGATATGGGTCTGCTGTGCGTGCTGACATCGGAATCATCCAGAATATTTGAATGGATGATGATGAAGACTTCCCATGAGTTATACTGTACCATGCAGGGAGGTCAATTAGGTGGATTCTCAAGCTTGGCTCAAGTACCTCTTATCAGTCCCGGGTCCGATCCTGTGGACCGGGGATGAGAAAAAAAAAAAGGCAAAGGCACGGCAATGAGGAAGGAGCGGGCTTGATCTCAACTGTGGCTCCTGCCGACTTTGAATGTAGCTACAGTACGGACCTACGCACTTACTTTCCTAGCTGCTCCAGCTTCAACTCTCGACAAGCATCCACACTCTCGAATCAAGGTTAAGCACAGCTCAAGTCAATTTCGAGCGCCTATCGCGGGTCATCGCATTCGACAGCGTCACAACGACGTTCCAAATCGAAGGTTCCATCACAGCTTCTGGCGTCTGTCTCGACGCCTGGTCTCCGGCTCAGCAGCCTCCGAACGACCCAACTCCAGGCCTAGCGTCCCAGGTCACAACCCTCCAGAAGCAGCTCCTGCAGGCCTGGCCCAGTCGCGGGAAACATCCCGTCGCCCACTGTGTGTTAGTTCCGACAAATGGTGCAGCCTGTGGTGGAGATTGGGACAGGGGCTATGGAGCCCTGGAGACAAGAATCCCCCATGAGCAGGAGCTCTTTTTTTTCGCAGCAGACACGGACTCTGCAAACTCCCGCTGATGTGTTCATAGGCATGCAGCAGACATGTTCTTGATGTCTTGAGCTCCCTTTGAACATGGCTTCTTACCCCTGACCGCCGACCTCAGTCTTGAGCCCTGGTCCTTGAAATCCGTACAGTTAGTTGCTTTGCACACTGGCTCCAGGGCCCTTGTTTTCCTTCTCTCGCTGACCCTCCCAGACTGGCACAGTAACTTGCATGCAACTGTAGAACCAACAGGGTCACGGCGGGATCCTAGAAGAGATGCATCGCGTCTGTTTCGATGGTCATCGGCATCGGACCTATGCCTCAGCTTGGCTCATCCGGCTTTTCCTCCGTCTCATCCACGAGTCGATCCTTCTGTTTACTACTATACTTACATACTCCAGTACTAAGCAAACATAGGTACTGAGTTTGGGGCTCGCACCTTGCAACCTCCACGAGTCGCGAGTCGTCCCACATTTTAGCACCTGGCCCCGTTCCCAGCGCAGCGGGTCGTCACGTTCAAGAGTGCCTGAGCGACATGTTGTTGTTTTTGTTGTTCTCTTTTGTGTCGTGCGCGAGAGCGCAGCACAACGCTCAGGTCGGTTGCCGTTCCGTCTGTGCGCTGGGCCGCTGCACAAGAAGCAGACTGGCCAAGCCCCTAGCCCCAAGAGTCGTGTTTCTCTAGCCTTCTGGCTTGTTTCTCTCGTGGGGTTGAAGAATCCTAGCTGGAGAGCTCTCATCCCCTTGGCCGCCCGCCCTGCAAAGGGAGAGACATTGGACGTTCCATCGTTCTTCTCAACGGGACAGCACCTTACTCCATTGAGGCCAACTTCGACAAAGGCCCGAGTCTAGCACACGGAAGAGAGACATGGTAACTTCGCCATGGCCATGGCTTGCTTCTCGCCCTCTTATCGATTTGAATCGAAGAAGCAGTTCAACCGGGGAGTGACTGAAGCCTGAGCGCTGCATCCAGTTTGATGCAGCTTGCGCATCAGCTGTCTGCTCCACGATGTAGCAAAGATGCGCTAGGTGCGCCAGATTCGTACTAGAAGAGCCCATTTGTCGAGTAGATCCCACGTCTCTGGCCTGATCCACGATAGCCGTGTTTTAGCCATGCTCTCAGCTGGATCTCATCCAAAACCGCCATGATCCTCAAAATCGGCGCTACGGGCAAATAACACAGTTGAGGCGTCATTGTTTGGGTAACACAGTTAGGCAATCGACTCATCCCCTTGAACCAGGAGAACAGATGAAGCAATCTGCAAAGGTGGCCCCCCTGCTCAGGCTCGGTCACAGTTTGTCTCATCGTCGCCCTCCCCGACACTAAAACGAACCACAGCTGGTTTAGCGACTCCAAAGCTTGCAACGCGTTTCTTCCCAAGACCCGCAAACAGGGACCTCGACTAGCGCGTTATCCAGTGCGTTGCATTTGAGCTTGGTCTGCTCAATGAGCTCTGAAAACAGAAGGAAGGTGCCTGACTACCAGCTGTCATAAGGATTCCTCTGGACCAAATGCTCTTTGGGGGCACAGCGGCGGCACAGCATGCCTTAGCCAGAGGACACCACTGAACAAGGCACGGCTGGGGGAAGCACGAACCGAGCAGCGTCCCAAGGCCCAGCGCGAGGGAAAAGGCTCCGACTCTACGGGTGGGAATGCAGCGGCGGGGAGTGCTGGCTGGGAACATCCTTGTCCATACACCGATCCCCTCTCTTCTGGTCCCATTAACCGGCCTTGTGTCTCTCCTTCCAAGGTGCTGGGCTCTGCTGCTCCCGCGTCAGTGTCTCTCGGTTGGTAAACCTTGACTTGACCCTTCATCAGATCCCACGCTGTCTGCTGATTGACTCCTCAGTTTCGTCCTACTTGTGCCCGTGCCTGCAGGGTCCAGTTGCTAAGCTCTCAGAGTGTTCATATCCTGGCTCGGCTTGTGCAAGGTCCAATAGTGTCCAGCCTGTGCACTGTACGAGGCTACGACGTCAGCAAGCCCGCGCGGGCATAATGGTGTACGTACTCTGTGGATTTATCCTCGTCACCCTTGCCGGGTGGAGTTGCTACGGCTTCGTTCCTGCATTGCTCAACGGAGCCGGTTCCCAGCCAGACGACTGACTAAGACCAGACCTAAACAGGGAACAGGCCCTTGGTGCTGGGAAGCACGCACTGAGGCCCTGGATCGAGGCTTGACGCGGCCTGTATCACCAAGGAGGCCTTTACTCGACTGCACAGCGCAGGACCTGACTAGACTGTCGACGCGCAACGACGAAACACAACCCACATGACGATCCTCCCAGTGTCCGCTGTTTGGCGGGTTTGTGTCTTGACCTGAATCGTCCTGGCTTGGGCTTGCAGCGACGTTCTAAGATGGGGAGCGAGGGAGGTCATTGCATCGTGGCCCACTACTCGAGAGCTCACCATTGCCTGGACAGATGTTGTGTGTGTGTCTTGCTGTCATCGTCCCCATCCTGACCCTATATTGCAGCGTCCTAATATGCTGAACGTGTCTTGAGCTCTCGATCCTTTTTTTCCGAACCGTTGAGAAACCACACCAGCGTTGCCAGCCGATCGGCGCAGGTCTGGCGGCCCAGCCATCAAACATCCACTTTCTCGTCGTTGCTTCTTCGGCCGTGAAGAGTTTTCTGGTTACTTTTTCTCCTCCCCCTCTTTTGGTCTTGGGGGTTTCGTGGAGGGCTTTCCACCTCCTCTTCATCCTCTTCTCATCCTGTCTTGTTTGTTTGCTGCTAGGACGGTCACTATCAAACAAGCCTCGCCCACTTGGTCCCTGGACAGGGCGTCGAGTCGCACCACCACGGACCTTGGGTCGCCTTACAACAGGTCCAGCATCGCATGAGACTGCGGAAGCGCTCGCACAGTACGACGCCCAGTCCGTCTGATCGATCCATCCCTCCCCTTGACCAGGCCCTGCTGCAACCCCCCCAGATTCCCGGGGCTTGTGTCCGTCGAGACGGGCCAGGCCAACCCAACCGGAGCCCTGTCGAGGGTCCTCCCCCCCTTACGACCACCCTAGTCTTCCCTGTCTTCTCTAGCCCCAGCTCGCAGGGCTTGTCTAATCTTGGAGGGTACAAAGTTGCCTTGCCCCAAGATTGCATCAATCTCTTGCTCCTAGGCTATCCTATATGATACATAGCACCCTCATCATTGCTGTCCCCCAATTCCTTTTCCTGCCCCTCCTTTTGCCACAGGATTGAATCCTATCGTGGTCTTTGCCTCCTTGTCTTACCTGGTGTCTTTACTGGGTCTTGCCTGGATCAATTTGCTCTTATTTGGAGCTGACACAACCTCGACAACCGTGGGACCAGTTATTTGTTTACTTGGAGGGTAAGCCTCAACCTCGCCGCCATCTGCCCCCTCGAGGCCCTCAATCGACATGTGGGCTTCGACGATGCCATACTACTCAGAATATCAATCAAACCGTTCCGAACGCGATGTACCACAGAACGCTTCCGCCAGGTCAAGCACGCACGCGGACGCCGACAGCAACATGGACGGCAGCAACCATAGTTTCCGAGATGTGGCTCCCAACCAACAGCCACCCGTCGACCTGAATGAATTAATGGGGCCAGCCATCGAGGGTCCTCCCTCCCCAGAGAGAATTCGTCAATTAAGCAAGCAAATGAAACATGCGTCTCACCTCCACCGGGGCCACCGAACCGTGTCTTCGGGCTCCTCGTCACTTCTGGCCTCTGAATTCGACAGCATGAGTATTACACGCCGATCCTCGCAGCGATCTACAACCAGTGGCAGCCCTTCTCGAGACCGACCCGACAGCGTCCAGGTATTGGGCAAGAATATTTTCCATCGCCGTGCCAAGTCGAGCAAGTCGGGTCGGTCGAAGCGCGAAAGCAGTGCACACAGCTCATCAGGAAGCTCGCTATACTCTGCGGAAACTGGCAGTGAGAATTCCCTGGCGACCTTCAAGGACTCTTTTATTCCAACCATTTTCGCCCGCCGGAAAACATCTCGAGACGAATCGGCACTGCAGAAGAAACTGCACATATCTGGACCTTTCAACTTTCAGCATGTTACCCACACACCACGGGATCAGATCGTCAGCCTCCAGCGGGGCAGCCGCATGGAATTGATGTCTGAGATGTCGGCCATGCGCACTGCAGACCCGACAAGCCAGGATCTCCACTTTCGAAACTTCTCTTCAGAACATCTGGGTGAGCATCAGAACCCATCGCCCAGGTTCCAAACGGGAGCTCGGCGGTTGCTCAAGCACGCCCGGTCACAGGAGCAGCTCCGGACCAGCCCTCCTCCCCGGCCGGTGCGACCCCCGAGATCACCCCCCATGGAGCCGCTACACTCTCCGACCCTGGGCCCTATACCTCCTCCGCGAGTGTCAAGCCGCCAATCGACCCAGCGAGATGGCGAGTCCGCAGATCGCCCCCAGACCAGCGGTGGCTTCCGACGACCCCGACCCTTTAGCCCCGATGAGGCCCTGGATCAACCTCCAGCAACCTCTCACGGCTATGGGGCTGCTCAGGAATCGGAGGAGCTGGTGGTAGATGAGCATCGGTTTTCGCATGCTATCACCACGCCCGACGACGCAGCTTGGCCATTGGGAGCCCCTGGCGTTGCCTCCTATGAGTCGCCACTGCCTGACGTGCCAGAGGAGGAGGAGCACTTTGTCCACACTGGGCGCTCCCGAGTCAGCGTCACCAGCACCAGGTCTTCTTTGAGGGCCAGCCAGTCGGTACCTGTTCTCCGAGGATTCCAAAGGCCCATGAGCGGAGCTTCAGACACACTGGGACCTCTGGAGAACCGCAAGAGTAGTCATCACGACGGCAGTGGAGCCGACGTGCCATCGATCAGGGAGAGCTGGGAGGACGATATCGACTACTGCTACGAACACGAGGCCGATGCCAACTTTGACTATGAGTGGGAGCGACCCTCTATGGATGTTGAACAAGACATGACGCCGCCGGTGCAAGTGGCCATGGCAGATGATGAGTTGAGGGAGGTACCGACCATCGGCACGGCCGAGTCGTCTCCCGGTATGCTTTCCGCATCCCGTTTTGATATACCGGCTCTAAGCCCAGCCAGTCAAGCCTCGCCTCCCGTCGGCCACGAGGCTCTCACCCCCAGCTCGGCTGCGGTGACGAACAACTTTTCCTTCCCACGCGGGGAGAAGGCGACTCGACCTCCCAACTTGAGCCATAGCCACAGCCGCTCCGACTCTCGCGCGTCCAGCTTCAAGGAGTCTCATGGCTTCACCCTTTCACCGTCTCTCCTCATTCCTGGCGACTACCATCAGCAGATGCTCCTCTCAGAGGCTGAGAAGCACAGCTACACGGGTGAAGACGAGATTGTCCACGGCATGGTTGGCTCTGGACTCCCCTACGAGGATGCCAGCAACGCAGCCAGCCACGCCTCGCTGACCCTGTCGCATCAGCGCGCCAGCGTCTCGACGACAGCGACCAGCTCAACAACCATCTCGGACTCGACGGGAGAGCGCCATGTCTCAACCAACTCGACATGGACCAACCTGACGCGCCTCACAAGCAGCACATCGCTTAGCAAGTGGGCTGAGGCAAACGATAGCATCCCCGAGTCCCACCTCGTTGACCCACAGAATGACAGCGACGAAGAGGAGACGACTCCTCCCGCCTTCAGAGAGAAAGATACGGTGCCGGAGCTGACACCTTTCCCGTCAGTGCCTGTTGGCAAGCGATCTCTTCACAAGAGCCACGCAAGCGAGTCAATTGTCCGAGACGAGGTGCCCCCGATGAAGTCGGCCGAGGTCACCAAGGGTCGACGCCCACGAGCGAGAACGACGAGCCTCAGCGCAGCGGTTCCGCCTGTCGGACAGTATGCCTTGTTCCCTCGGACATACGTCAAGGGAAACAATGATCGAATCTAAGCAAGCAACACAACGCATCTCGCGAATTCCCGGGCAAAGCTGGTATGATTCTGGCGTCATGTTTTGCTTTGTTTCAAGCTTTGCTACGCCGCCGTGCTGCGTGCGGCTCCATGCCCGCCTCCGTCTCGTCTCCGTCTCCGTCTCAGTCACATTGCATTGCTGCAGCGCATTGCATACCTACCTACCTACATATGGGCTTGATGCCCTGAAGATCCTTTTCCTGTCCCACATGCGAGCAGCAGGACGTTCCTGGCTCGCACTGTCCTCCCTTTCCTATCCTACCTACATACCGACCTCTACACCCCATCCCCTAGTTGGGAATGTCGACCCATGGATGGGTTTCCTTTTGTTAGACTTCGAGTCTTTCGTTTCAGGCGTTGCATTGTTGGGCCTCTTTTGTTCCCGCATGCCTGGCTGGCCACTCGGTCCCATGGACCTCCTTGCTTTTTTTTCTTATTTGTCTGGTCATGTTTCCATCTAACATTCAAGCTAAGCTATCCAAGGCGTAAGCGCGGGTCTGCATAAAAGCAGTTTTGGGGCATTGGGGGTTTCTCAAAAAAAGATAAACAAGGCATCGGGGTGTGTTTCTTTTCCTTTTCCTTTACTGTTCATATTTTACTTTGCTGCGCCCATTTAGAGTTGGTTGAGACAAGCCAACAGCGTGGCAGAAGGCATCCTCGGGGTGCGACATTGGAATCAACCGGATCGAGGTTCCGGTTCTTATGAGTGATGGATTTATGACCTTCTAGACAGACCAGCATCGACAGCTACCTTGTACAACAATTGCCTTGATGGCTGTTAGCTTTGAGCGATGCTTGTTCACATCTGTATATAACTAAAAAGAAGAAACAAAAAAAGACTTAAAAAAAAAGTTTAACCAACCATGACGTTCCTCACTTGTGTTATTGTGCCTTCCAAGATGTACCTAGTGACTCACAAACCTTTTGACCAATGTCAACAAATATTAGACTGCCCTTATACAAAGTCTATGTAAACTCTCAACAAAACCTTATCTCTCAGTCAGGTATTTAAGACGTCCCATTCCACACATGGAGAGAGTCAACCTTTGTGAAATATCGGAAAAACAACGCCAGCCTGACCAGCGGCCTATCTCGATGCCAATGATGAACCCGACATCAAAATTCCCTCTTTTGACAAAACCAAATGTCTTTTAAGTTGCTGCTGCATTGGGGGTTCTGAGGTAACTTGATATTCAGAAACAACAACAACGCCCCCTTTTTTCAGTCGGATCAGACAAACAAAAGTCGTAACGACATGGCACCTATGATGAGAACCCAGATCATCAGCTCTGCAGCAGGCTGACATTTCATGTCTCCAAAATGCGTGGGTGTTTGGGGACCTGAGGTACACAAAAAACAACCAACAATAGCCTCTTCCTTCAGCTATTGGATGAACCAAAGAATCGTAACAAGTTCAAAGCCGCGCCAATGATGAGATCCAGAGAATCAACTTTACAACGGGTTGGCATTTATTGTCCCGTGGAGTTTGACCAGGGGACCTGAGGTACTCAATAGCTTGCCGAAGCTGTTTGAGGATATACAAGTCGTAACAACCAAGTCGCGCCGATGATGAGACCTGAAGAATCAATTCTACGGCAGAGTTGACATTCATGTCCCGAATATGGGATAAGACTAGGGACCTGAGGCACACAGTAGTTTACTGATTGGTACTGTTTGGAAAGATACAAGTCGTCGCTACAACCAAGTCGCGCCGGTGATGAACCCTAGAATCAGTCATGCTATGGAAGCTGATTGACATTCATGTCCCCAAGTTGGGGCGAGACCGGGGATCTGAGGTACACTATCAATAATGTCTTGCATAGACAAGACATGGCAAGTTGCCATACCCCATACTGTCATGTTAAGTTACATGAACAAAGGTAATGAGGGATGAACTAAGAAAGATGGCATCGACACATCACATAAAGAACTATTAAAAGGGGAACATGACAAGTGATAAGCCAAACCAAGTCGAATTCGTAGTCGAGTTTTCTATTCGGTGTTTGTTTTTCCCCTCCAAGCAAGCAAGTATCCAGAATTCCTTCGTCCCAAGAACCAATGCTGTGTAAACACTTGTCCAAACATCATGTCTATCCCGATCCCCCTTCCGAAACCCCCCCTTTCCCTGACCTTCTTCCTTCTTTACCGTCTTATCTTTGTCGACCCCAACCCAACCAACGTCTGATGTTTTCTTTTCTCACTTTGTGCCGTAACCCAGTACCAACCAATGCTCCATGTTCAATGCAGCCAAAGAAGAAAGATAGAAAAAGAAAAGATAAAAAACACAAAACCACATCCACCCAGCCCAAGTCTACATGAGTTCGTTGATGTCGAGGTTCTAATATGTCGAGCATCATGAAAGGAAGAAAGAAAGAAAAAGGGATAAGAGAAGGGAAGGGGGGAAAAGGGCCAAGACATATGTACACACACACATGCTGATGGAAGAAGAAAAGAAAGAAAGAAATAAAAAGCATCAAGTCAAACCCCCATGAGACAGAAGAGACTGAATGAAGTTGCAAAAGGACAAAGCCCACCAACAACCACCCTCCCTCACCCTTTGAGATATCAAATATCCGTTTTCCCTTTTGATACTCGTCCGTACCATCCCGTACCATCCCTTTATCTTCACCAATTTTTTTTGTTGAACAAGATCCAGTCCCCACTCACCACCATCACCAACACTCGTGAACCATGAGAAGGGGACAACATAACCAAAATACAATAAACAATTTGCTTCATGAGCCTGTTGCTGATGGTGCATGGACCCCCCTTGTCCATGACCAGTCGTCGCCATATTGCAACTGCGCTGTGCCAAACAATCATGATGAACAAAAACATGTGTAACAAAAATCAAACATTAAATGAATGAATGAAAGGACAGAGGGGAAATGTGATATTCGCAACAAGGAAATTCGGTCTTGTATCCCTGAGAGCATCTTCCAGGGCTTGTCCCTTGTCACAATCTTGAGTTATGCCCTCCAATCTTTGATGCTCCCTTGTCGTCAGTCCTCATCTCGATCGTCACGGACCTTGTCCTGATCCGTGTTGCTATTGAAATCGAGCGGCGTTTGCTGGCCTGACGAGGACGTAGTACCGTCCGAGGTAGATCCTTTGAGTCGCCGGAGACTGCCTTGTAGTTCGAGGTTCTCGCGCTCAAGCTGGTTTCGTTCCTGTTCCAGTGCTTCAATATGCTTGCGCGCCATTTCAAGCACCTCGCCCTTGCTCACACGGCGGTCTGCATCGTTCGCGGCATCGGATTCGTTTTCGTCACCGTTTCCGTTTCCGCCTCCGCTTCCTCCAGATCGAGCTTGCTCTGGCAGAGCACTGAGGAGGGATTCGAATTGCGCGTTCAGACGGTTGCGGTATTGCTTCTCGACGAGGTTATGCGACGCTCGGGTCCGTCTTTCTTCTGGAGTATCATTAGGCTTGTCACGACTATTCTTGGACGTTCGAGAGGCACTGCGAAGCTTGCTCTGGCGACTGGAAGCTGTCGATGTCGTTGACGCCATGGATGCGGATTTAGAGCCAACGCTGGCACGACTGTTCTGTGACGTAGAGCTGGGGCTGGCTGCATCGGATACCGAAGGCGCACCACCAGCGCTGCTGCTGCCGCCCTGAGAAGCTTCAGAGGTTTTCCGTGCGTCCTTCTTCTGCCTTCTAGGTCGGGGCGTTCTTCGTGGTCTCGATGAGGGCGCGGGGTGGTTGTCTTCCTGAACTTCGTCCACTTCGGCCCAGGGGTTTGTAGTTACATGAGCGGCGGGCGTCGTCACCTTTGGGGTGCTCGCTCCATGACTGAGAGCGTCATCCCAGTGATTGGAGACGGTACCGTCGTAGTGACCCCTGGATGAATGTATGCTGGATGGCGAGACGAGCTCGCTTCCATACGCGAAAGCGGGGTCTGTCGACGCATGTGAGAGATGATTCTGATGGCCGATCGTGCCGTCGCCAGCAGGGATCATGGCTCCTGGGAAGTCGAATTGAGGTGGATTCAGCTGAAGACTGTTATGTCCAACGCTGTAAAGACCCCAATCTATTGACATCGGGCCTGTAGACACTGGGAGCTGGTTCGCATAGCCCGTTGGGCCCTGCGTCGAATGAACGCCCCCATGGAGGTTTTGCAAGCTCTGCGAAGGATGCGCTCCATGACCTACAGGAGTCGGAGGACCGTGTAAGTCGAGGTGAAGGTGCCCGCGTGATTGCGCACGTGATGAATCCGGTAGTTGCATCCCGAGTACCGGGTGATGGGCTGGATGGTGGGTCTCGATCTCGGTCGGGTCTGGCCGCTGCGGCGGATCGCGGCTGGGTCGATTCGGCGGCGAAATGGGCTGTTGATGCTGAAAATGACCGGGTGGCGCTGGCGCCATCATCTGCTCCATCAAAGATCACAAACGTTAGACTCTCTTCTTCATCATCAAAAAAATTTCTGGCCTCATGCTGTCGTCCTGTCCCGTCTCTACAGCTCAAATCTGCTGCGCGCCGCCTCCCGTCCCGTCTCGTCTCGTGGCTCCGCTTCACAGGTCGGGCGCGTTTCCTTTCTTGAGCGACATTGCCACTGAGGCTGGTCCGGAGGTTTTCTCCGTCCAATCTGGCTCCCTCCAGCACCTTCTCTTGAGATCTATGAGAAGCCATGACCACATGTCATGACCAGTCATTCGAGTCATGGCGCCAAAGAGACGGGGTAGAGATGGATTCTGGTGGATTCGAGCCACAGCCACTGGCCTGATGTTTGGAGCAGCCATGTCTTAGTTGCTGCGAGCGGCAACTGAGAGGGCAGACAGCAACCATCTCGAACGCCCTAGCGTCGGCGTTCCTGACCCTCACCACCTACCATCTCAACATCACATTGCGCAAAGAGACAGAAACAACGACAGCTTCAGTTACCAGCATCAAACGTACCTCTGGCTCCTCTATGAGGAAGTCATAGAATGACTGGTCCCCGCTGTGTTCCCCCGCCATGGTAGGGATCGGGGAGTCGGCAGGATGCAAGAAATCCTGGATCTTGGGGGTTCCTTGGGTGTTCGTCCGGCCCCCGCGTTGTCGATGTTCGAAGGTGTGGGCCGGGTATCCGATTGTATGTCCTCTGCAACTAGGCGTGCCCAGGTTGCCTTGCTCGGTAGCGGCGGCTATTGTGTTCGTCTCTGTCGACGAGGCTGTAAGTGGCTTTGATGCAGAGACCGGTGAAAGGTCTTCTGTCTTCGATTCGTGAACGTCTTGATAAACGATTCTTCGTTGACCTTTGTCGGCCTGGGCCTACGGCCGGCACCGTGCTTCACCTTGGAGGCCGGTGATCAAGGGGCCGAACTGCTTATACGGTCCTGGTGAAGCCGCAGATTCGACGTCACCGGAGCCTGCTCGATAGTTCCAACGCCACCCGCGGCGCGCCGCATCGGACCAGCAGCCTAGAAACTGATGTTCCTATTCCCGTCGGGCGAGGCTATGCCGGCGTCTCGTGCTCCCACGAAGCCGGACAAAAAGTCACCCCACTGAAGAGATTTCTCGGCACCACGAGACAATCGGTCAAGCGACCGATCGGATGTCCTTCCCAGTCCTTGCTTCTTTTCAGATGAGCGAATTACGATGCCCGTATTCTCGCTAACGGCACTCAACGTCTCCTTCTCTGCCCCTTTGGTCTGCCTGTTGGTTGCTGTTGTTAACGTCAGAGCGCATGCTGGGTAGGGTGACTTTTCCATCCATCGGCACATCTTTACTCACCAGCTCCCTCTTCTGCCGCGCTATCGGACGCCCGGTCTCAACAGCGTCCCTTCCTTCACGTCTCGGTCTCGGGAACAATGGCCCCTTTCCTTTCCTTCTGTCGTCTTCCCCCGGCTTCCCGCGTCTCCTCTCCTGAGGCTACTAGAGTCGAGTGACTAGTCACGGGGACACCCAATGGTAACCCGAGGCCTGAGCAGATGATGGTTCGAGGCCCTTGATGACTGCACTGCTCTGGCGTGTTTCTGCACTCGCCCCGGGAATCGAATGTGGTGAGATATCTTGGTGTCAAAAATAACATAGGGCAACTCGGAAGGGGGGGTTTATGTCGAGGCAAGACAAGCTTCTCGGCCTTCCTCCCCACGTGAATGGGAAGGCTTCCAATAGGAGGGGTTGAATGGTTTGAACCCGTGGCCGTGGGAAACCCAATGCCGGATAATGGGGAAGGCCATGTGTGGATTCAAGCTGACGCCTTGATTGCATTTTGCAATGACTCGACCTTGGAATTGGTCAGTGTCCCCGCCTTTACCGCCCCAAAGGGGGTTTTAAGGACTGCTCCTAGGGAGCTGGAGCTGGAGCTGGAACTGGGTAAGTAGGTGGGCTCGGGGGGGACAGCCTGGGCTGGGACTGGGACTGGGACCGGGACGGGGTCTGGCACCGAGACTGGTGCTTGGGCATTCGTTCTCTTTCAGGGCGATCGGCATCTCAAGGCCTTGCCCATCCCGTCTTTATTGGATACCTTGGCCCGACAAGCCCTACTGCTCACATGTCAAGCGCGGGAGGGTGCATGAAGAGGCGTATAGATTTTCCCTGTCAGAGCCGGTCTCCGGGCCCTCATCAGTCTGGCGCGATACGGTATCATATTGCTGGGGGGGCATTGTGAGCGGTCAAATCTCGATCTTCCGAGGTCAGGCTGCTCCCTCCCCCGGCCACCGTCCTCCTGTCTCTGATACCCGGTGGAGAGGAAGTACAGTAGCCGTCCGTTATCTCATCAGGGCCCATGCCAAGTTTCCAGCTCAGCCAGCCTGGGTTGCTCTGGGGGGCTTGTTGGAGGACGGGCCACCCATAGGTTTAGAAGGGACTGGGTATATTTGCCTGGGAGACAATAGGCACGGTCATCATGACGCTAGATGGCACCACATGCGTCCCCAACATGATCTTGTGATGTAAACCGGTTCTCCTAGTCCCAGCAGGACGGAAACGACGCTGTACACGGACCCGAGGCGGCCCCATTGATCTGTTGCTCGGGACATGAACCCTTCTGCGAGGTACAGATGGGCTCGCCTCTCACCAAGTGGACGGCGCAGGCTTTGGGTGTGTAGATGTCCGTGGTATGGTGGTCTGATCCTAGATTCGCAACCGAGGAGCGGGGGGGTGGCTGGCTATAGCCAGGGGGGGCCGCAAGCTTGGCCAGCGCAGCCAACGAAAAAGTATGCCATGATTGGGAAAAGAGGGCCCTGGACGAAGGGGATTCACGTCGGATGCTGGGGCTAGGACGCTTTGAGGCGGGCTGGAGACTGATGGAGTCAAGTGTGGTCGTTGGCCGTTGGGCTGATATGTCGTTTGGGGGGGGCGGCATCAGGGGACGAGAAGGGACAACGGTTTTTTTGTGGGTTAGGCTTGTGTGTAGTACATTTTACTCGACGTCACCGCTTTGAGGGGAATTTTCTGTTCCTCTTTGGGGTATAATGGCATTCTCTTGACATTGCCATGCTCGCTCGCCCTCGTTCTGGGCGGGTACGCGGATCGAGGAGGCGCCCGCCCACCTGCAACACCAAGAGTGAGCTCGAACCGTCAGATCAGTCAATCCGGAGGGGAAAGAGAGAGGGAAAAAAAGAAACTGTTGGTTCCCACCTGGGCTTCTCTGTGAAACAGCATAATGTAGGGGCTGCATGATGGGAAATTCGCGGCTTGCTCAGCCGTGACACATCGACTTTTGGAAAAGCTGATATCCATCCCTCCTAGGGTTCGAGAGAGCGCCTTGCCGAGGGAAGATGTAACGGAGACGCTGCGGCGGCATGGCGTAAAGGTCGAGTCTCGAGGCTGACCAATGACGAGAAACAGAATGGACGGGGGGACCCCTTTCCCATTTCTGATGTGAGCCGCTCTTTCCTGCTTCGTAAGGCGCAGTTGCAGATGAACCCTGGATGAGTGTGTTTGGGAAGGTGCCGCTCAGGTAAGGTAGGTATGGCAAGACAGGCAAGGTAAGGCAGGAAGTGTCCATCCATCCATCCCTAGAGGTATCCGTAACACTTTGCCGGGTGCTACACGATGGACGCATCGGTGTCGACGGTGGATCGCCGAGGATGCCGGGTGTGTTGCCGTTTGAGGGGAAAAGAAGAGAGGGAGTGAGGTTGGGGAGAGGTTGGTGGGAAAGACAATGGACGGATGGATGAGATGAATTTATAGTTGTGGTGGACGACCTCCCTCCCAGCTACATCTTACGAGAAGAGGTTATTCCTACTTACAGCTTCACGACTGAATGAATCTACTCAAGTTCTCTCAAACACTCGAGTCCCCTGAATGGGCTGCTCTCGGTGTTTTTTAACCAAGTTGAGGATCAGATCATATATTCGCGAGACCCAATTTCGCAACCCAACCGCCACTAGATGAGGCACCATGATACTTGACGATGCTCCCCAAACACTCCCCCCTTCCGCCGCAAGCCGTGCCACATCTTGTAAGCCGAGTAGCCGCCCGTAAAGGAAGGATTCGTTCGTCAATCTGAGATGGAGTGTTTATGCAATCCAGTCCGACTGAACGAGGGCCTCATGCCCTTGACCCTGGCTGCTTCTGTGCTTCACTCCCAAGCCTCTACGCGAGCGGGCCCTCTCAACTCGTTCGGACCGCCTAACACAAGTCTTCGGAGCCGGATATAATGAGCTGTCATAATGGGAAATTCAACCATAGCTGGAAATTTTTTCTTTTTTTCCCTTCCTGCAGCCCCTCTTGGAAATTCGCGAAAAAAGCAAGTTCCCTGACTTACACCCTGGCTGATCTGATCTTTGTCCAAACCTTAATCAACTCAGTAGCGCGCGTTTAAGATGAAACTCTTTCCAATAACCACCGTCTCTCTCTTTTCCACAAACGCACCTCCCAGATCTCGTTACTTTAGCTGCTTAGATCTCATCAGCCACTGGCTGGAAATAAACTTGGCTTCCCATGAGGCGTCATCTACGCACTCCTCCTCCAGATGCCACTAAAGAATCCTCCCTGTGCCATGTCGCATCGCCTTGCAGTAGCCTGTCTTCTCGAAAACCTGCCATCGCCGATCGAGGGGCCCCTGATCGTCGCTGCCAAGACGAAAACGGCCACCAAAACATACAACTTCTCCACCAACCGCACCGCTGCCACGAAACAAATGACCTCTCACTGTTAAATGGCGATAGTTGCCCTGAAAGGCAATGGGGTCTGCTAATAACTAAGTAATGACTAGGAAATCCAATTGAGCATTCAATGGACCTTGACGACACACCCTGAGGCACAAATGACTAAATGGTGGCTTGTGCTATCAAAATTACATTCATACGAGGCAGCTGAACAACATGCCCAAGCTTTGGGGCCGCTCTTCGCGGCTGATAACTAGTAGTTGACGATCAGAATGTCACAAGTCAAGGAACCCTCGTCAATGGCTGTCTACAAGACAGGGCTGCCTGCCGTCAGCTGGGAACTAGCCCTGTAAAGATCTAGACAATCCGGGGCCGGGACAGGTGCAATAACCGCGAAATGTTTATAGCTATCACTATAGCATGAGCCCATGTGTGATATCATCTTCTAGCCTGAACGCCGCCAATACATCTGTATCTCCAAGACCAAGAGCTTTTCCCAGCCTCGTTCCATTAAATTCTCCCACGGATTCCCGCATAGCTTACACCCCCTCCAATTGAAACCCCGAGACTATACTTAGGTGGTCTTCTTCTTCTTCTTGGGCCTCTCCTCCTCATTGTCATCATCATCGTCATTGCCATCGTCATCGACACCGCTCTCATCACTTCCTGAGCCGGAACTCTCGTGGGCGCTGTCGAACTCCTCTGCGACATCACTTTCGCTGTCAGCCTGGAAGTCTTCATCCACACTCTCCTCGTCTTCATCCGCTGAGCCTCGGTCGGCCTTAGCGACCACCTCATCCTCGGAATCATCCATCTCTTGGTCAAGTGCTGCAGCGAGAAGGTTGGCGTCTTCGTCAATCTCGTTCTTGACGCGGAGACCCTTGAGCTTGAAAAAGGTCTCAAGAGCCTTCAGGTCCTCACGACTAATGTTGCTGAACTGCGATGAGCCGGCGCCGTTCTTCAGGAGAACAGTGATATCGAATGTCGACAAGGCTGACACAGCTCCGCCGACACGAGAGAAGGTGACCGACTGAGTCTGTTCGTAGGCGATGTAAGTTGCCGGCTTGGGAACAAACATGAAGGCCTTTTCCAGGCAGTAGAGGGAACCCTCGCTGGCCTTGATGGAACACTTGATACCGTACTGGTTGCGGTGTCTAAGCACAAGTTAGCAGTCGTTTCAACTAGGAAAGAGTAGGGAACTTGCGTGATAAAGTCCTTGGCAGGGGACGAAATCTTCTTGTTACCGAGACCACGGAAAATCTTGGCCACAACCTGGTGGAGAGGCTCCTCATAGTGAGGCTCGAGCTTGTCTTGATACTTCTTCTTGAGCTCCTCCTCGTTGAGGTTGAGGTCAATGGTAACCTCCTCGTCCTTCTTAAACTGCATGACAACGAAGGGGTAGCGAGTTTGACCCTGGCGCAGAGGTGGATCGAGACCAATGACAAGCATGTAGTGAACCTCGTCGGGCTTGGGAAGCACCATGAACTTCTTGATGGCATCGTATTGGATCTTGTAGTCGTACGTTTTTCCACGGAGGCGGAATGATGCCTCATACATATCGATGTCAAAGCGACCTCTGGAAAGGACACGTTAGCGAAAGAACAGCAAGGTACCGGAGTCTTGAGTCATACCTGGGAGTGAGATGCAGAACATCCAAGAATGTGGCGATGGTGTCGCCAGCTGTTTCGCCAATCTCGGCCTTGTCGATCAGAGTTTCGTAGAAGAGAGTAGCTGCGTTCTTCTCCTCCTCAGCGTTGCCGGCATCACTGCCAGCATCCTCGCCCTCGGCCTCCTTACGAGTGGTGACACCGGGGATGTAGAATCGCATCTCGACCAGCTGATCGCGACCAGCGGCAGCCTTGGAGCCCTTTGATCGAGCTCCGCCGAGCGACGGGTTGGCGCCCGAATCGGCGGCTGTGGCAGGAAGGGACATTTCTACGGCCACTTCATTTCGACCAGCAAGGTTGGTGTTTGCGATCTCCGAGTAGGCGAGCTCGAAAGCAGGTCGATTTTGCACGCTGAAGGTGAGTTCAGACTTGGCGAACTCTGCCTTGCCCCAGTTCCAGCCGCGAAGAGCGTGCTCCTTGTTCTCGAGAACAGTGCTGTACCAGTTCTTGAACACCTTGGAGAGTCGGTCGTAGTCCTCCTGCTGGAAGCCATCGAGCTGGATGATGCCAGAATTGGCGCGTTGCAAGATCTTGATCTCATATCCCTTGGCGGCGCGACTCCATTGCGCAGAGGCGATGTTGCTGTGATCGAGTGTGAAGGTGTCGCCGCCGCTCGCAGGCTTCCAACCAAAGCCAGTTTCGGCGAATCTGCACTTGCCGCTCTCCTTGGAGAGGTCCAAGTAAATGTTGTCGAAACTCTCGCTGCAAATTGATGATTTGGTTAGCTGTTGCCATGGAGATGCTTCGTGAGGAGATCTAGAGTTCGACGGAGCCTCGAGACCATCAAAGACGCTTCGAGGGTGAAAGAAATTGATCCAAAACGTACATGGCAGTCATCGCGACGACTTTGCGCAAACTTTTGGTGTGGAGAGATGAGATTGGAAAAGGACAGTGTCGTCTCTTTCTCTCCTTTCGAGGCGACAATGGGCTGTGATGCAGAGCACGGTCTTTGGAAATTTGAGAATAGGTTCTCAGCTAAGCTTCGCGGTCGCGTCCCCCAAGTGCCTGAAAACACGCGCTCCCCCGTGAACCACTATAAAGGCCCCACTTCAACAAAGGCTCCAGGGTGCTCTAGGCGTCAGCTCGCCCTGGGGAATGCCTCTTGCAGCAATGGTTGGGCGGCGTCGGCCTCCCCAACGTTTGTCCGGTCCGTGCAGTCACATGGTCATGCTGTTGGAGGTATCATGAGGGGGCCAAGACTACTTACTTAACATGAGACGATAGTAATTAGTAGAAGGTCGGTATCCTTAGCTACAAAAGTGGCGGAAAGCTACCTAAAATGGATCAAACCTTATCTTCAATGCGTGGCTTGCCCTCCGACAAAGCATCACGGTACTTGTGCAACCTTCCCGGCAATGCTCCACCAGCGATAGCGCCCGCGTGCTTGAAATGACGACGTCGTTGGCTATCGCCATCCGTCACTCGTCGCCTTCCTCCGACTCTTCCCTCTTCTTCTTCCTCATCATCTCCATCCATCTTCTCCTCCTCTTTGGCCAACACTTATGCCTATTGCTCATCCATCCCTTGGATGGTCCATACCGTCATGACAACAAATAATCGCCGCCGGTCATCCGGCTTTCGATGCGCCTCGACTGCTCGAGTATCTGCTTCGCTACTGTTATCATTCCTCGCCTTTACGCCATCATCCGCCTCCGGCGTTGTCGACCGCGGTAGTCGCTTCCAGGACGATATCCTATTGCCTCCTGGGCCAGCGATACCATCAACTCCCGAAGTGCCTGCTCCCGCCGAGCACACTTTCACACTCCGACATATATACCACCACGGCACCTATCTCCATCCCAACCTCCATCGAAAGCGCGATGTCAACCACGCTGAGTCAAGGGTGTACTTGGCCGCTGAAGATGGTTTTGAGGAATACGAGATGACCCGGCTCACGGCCAAGAGCCGCGCCGAACCGATCCATCGTCTGGTAGATCGAAGACCATCTGTTGTTGACCCCATGGTCGCCGAGTCTCGGCAGCGAGGTTACGTATCCGTCCTTGATGCATCGGCGTGGACCACAGATCAAGTTCCATCCCCCGACATCAAAGACAAGAATACTGTCCTCACATTAGCGCGCATGACTGCCAACGCTTATGTTGAGCACGACACTGATGCTGACTGGGAGGATGTCGGGCCTCGGTGGAATCGAAGTGCCGATTTCGGTTGGGAGGGTGACGGTCTTCGTGGGCATGTTTTCGCCGACGACACAAACTCGACCATTGTCATCGGCTTGAAGGGAACAACAACTGCCGTTTTTGATGGCGAAGGAACCACGACTAATGACAAAGTCAATGACAACCTCTTCTTCAGTTGCTGTTGTGCTCAGCAAGGCCAGTGGACCTGGCATCAGGTCTGCGATTGCGCTACTAGCACATACACCTGTAACAACACTTGTGTTGTTCAGGCACTGCGGGAAGAGAACCGATACTACGCTGCTGCTCGCGAGCTATACTCGAACGTTACAGAGCTCTATCCTGATGCCAATGTCTGGCTCACAGGCCACTCCCTCGGTGGTGCCGTCACGTCCATGTTGGGCATGACATACGGCTTGCCTGTTGTCACCTTTGAGGCTGTACCAGAGGCTCTTCCGGTTTCGAGACTCGGCCTGCCCCTTCCTCCCGGTGCTGACCCAAGCTTCCCTCAGTTGCGCGAGAACACGGGCACGTTTCATTTTGGCCACACCGCAGACCCGGTCTACATCGGGACCTGCAACGGTGCCGCGGCGTCCTGCTCATTTGCCGGATACGCTATGGAAAGCGCGTGCCATACGGGCTACGAGTGTGTGTATGATGTCGTGGCTGATAAGGGCTGGAGGGTCGGGATCGGCACACACCGGATTCGCTCCGTCATTGACGACATCATCACCAAGTATGACGATGTTCCAGAGTGTAAACGTACACCCGAATGCCGAGACTGCGCACAATGGAAGATGTACGAAAGCAACGGAACCGAGACTACGACAACATCATCTTCATCAACAACCACACGGACTCGGACTCGGACATCAACTTGTGAGACGCCAGGGTGGTGGGGTTGCCTGGACAAGTCCACTCCAGGGGCGACTACAACATCGACAACGTCGTCTACAACTACGACCTGTCTTACACCTGGATGGTTCGGATGCAAGGATAAGACGACTACTGAAACTACTACGACGGAACCGACCCCGACCACGACTTGTGAAACTCCAGGCAGGTTTTGGGGTTGCCGGGATGAAGTGGTCGTGACAACGAGTGCTCAGCCTGGTAGTGCGACGCAAGTTCCTATCACTGCTGCGCCTACAGCTACGTCAACGGATCCCTCGAGTGCCTCGCCACCTGAGAAATCAAAGTGTCTCCACCGCAACTGGCTTGGATTCTGCAAGGAGTGGGAGGGAGAGGAAACGGAGTTCGACCCCGACGAGATTTAGTATGGGGTGATGAATGAGATCTCATGTCGAGATGGTCATATGCTAACCATCCGACATCATGGTACCTGACCATACACGCAATCTCGGAAAGCTCGGGCTCCGGATACAAGTTTGAGGTTATCTGGTCTTATTTTCAGTTTTTAGCTTGAGGCGGATGCTTCTGGGGTTTTTAGTGATACGGGCGGCATTCTCTCGCTCGCAACAGTGAGAGACATTTTTTTTTCTCCGTCTTCGAATTGATGAGGGCGTTGGGCTGGGTTGGGATGGTTACATGCAAGCAATTTGATGGTTTTGGATTAGCACAGATAGATCAACTCTACTTGACCTGAGAGTCAGTGACGGATAACAGCGACCGTTAGACATTAGCATTAGAATATTTGAAATTATATTTAACTATGAATAATGGTAATTATGCGTGAATCATGATTGTATGTAGTTGTCATCTTAAGGCTGTCATGGATATCCACCTCCACCGGCACATGAGTTGGTTGATGTCAGCGGGCAGCCAGAAATAATTCTCAAGTGCTCCCCACCAAAACGCGTCTTCCTTACATCCAACAAACTCCTGGCGTAAAGCCGCGACACCACGACATCCCATCGAAACAAACCAAAGGCAGCCGGAACAGCGTCATATGATGTCGCCAGCCTCGATTCATCTCATTGACCGATGATATACCGCGATGGAGACGGAATCCAAGCCCTCGGAGATGGACACTCCCCGTTCATCCTCCCTGTCGAGCCTCAGCGATAGTGACAGCGACAGCGAGACAGCGAAGAATATCCAGCGCCGCAGCAACGACTCCGATGGCCAGACAAATAATGAAGACAAGATAGAATGGCTGGCCACGACAAGGAAGCGCCGTTCGACCGCCGGTAATCGGATGAAGTCGATGCTCGCCAATGAAGAGCCCGATTCAGACCTTGAACTCCTGTTTGCAGAGGACGAGAACGACCAGGGCTTCTCCGATGCTGGTGAAAATGCATCGGACGTGCACATGGACTCTTCTTCCGACGATGAGGATAATGACAACAACGATGATGATATGGAGGGCGAGAAGGAGTTGGAGAGACAGGCCAAGGAGCGGCGCGCCGCCCAACGGAAGCGAAAGGCCCAAGAGGCCATCCCTGCAAAGTTTCGCAAGAAGGTTCGCATCGATCCCACGACCAAGACGCCTGCTGCACCCACGAGGCCCCCGCCGCGACCTAAGAAGAAATCCGAGCGAACCTCGTGGCTGCCCTCACCGGCCGATCTACCGACCCGAGCGTCGTCCCGCCAGACGACCCGACTATCCAAGGAGCAGCTTCACCAGCAGATGGTGGAGCGTGAGGCACGTCGACTAAAGCAGGTCGCACAGATGCAGAAGAAGGCGGCTCGTCTCGAGGCTATGAAGAAGCCACCCATGACACAGGAAGAGAGGTTGCGCGAGGCGGCCATCGTGGAGAAGCGCAACAGTAAGAGTCTCAACCGGTGGGAGGTGGCAGAGAAACAACGCGAGGAGGAAAGACGAGCGAAGCTTGCGGCTTTGCATCAGAGGACACTCAAGGGACCATTCATCACGTTCTGGAGTGGCATCGGCGAGTGGATGGGCAAGCACATGGTGATCGAGGAACCAGCTAAGGAGAAGAGGAAGAGGGGTGAGAAGGCTAAGGGCAAAGATAAAGACAAGGGCAAGGGCCAGGACAAGACACCTGCTAGTGAGGAGAAGAAGGATGGTAATCAGGATGGAACGCTGGCTGCTGGCGATGCTTCATCCAAGGCCAAGGGTGAGGAGTCGCAGCCAGCACAACAGCAACCATCAACGACACCATCACTTGAACCGGCTACAGCACCAAGGGCCAAGGAACCTGAGCCAAGTGCCGCGCCCAAAGTCGACGATGCCGTTACGAAACCTGCAGAGCCTCCTTCAACGGCGCCGAAAACGACATCTCCCACTCTCAAGACCGAAGAGCCTTCTCGGTCGATGGCGATGCCACCACCACCTCCCCCTAGTGGTCTAGCCATACCTGCTCCTCAACCTCCATCATCAACACCAACGCCGCCGCCGCCGCCGCCATCTCCCCTTGCTCCTCCAACAAGTGGCCTCGCCGCTCCATCCCCTCTTCCCGCCACCGCACCACTAGACACAACTCAGCAGTCCATCATGACTCCTCCAGCAGGTCTAGCCCGTCCACCAGAACCGAAACCTTCTGGTGTTCTGGCAGCCCCTATTCTTGCCCCCCCTCTCGGCATAAGTGTCAACGGAGCAGTGCCTCCTATGATGGGCTTTAGCAACCCCAAATCCAACGTCCTTGCACCGCCGAACACATCCCAAGGTGTTGTCCCTCCCACCTTGTCGGCCATCGCCCCTCCTCCCTCTATATCCCCTCCAGTTACGGCCCCCCCTATCCCAAAGCCTACACTGGCGCCGGCAACTACCTTATCAAC